GCCCTCCAGTCTACCTCGTACTCTATGGGTTCCTCACTCATAGCTCACGACTCTGCCTTCAAAGTCCTAGACATTACCCCTTCAACGAATGTGGCAACAGTGACCAACTTTCTACTCACCTCAAAATCCTTATCAAAAGGCAAAAAATTGATGGAGATTACAAAAACGAGAATTTTATGAGAAATACCAAAACGGAAAAGGGCTCTAAGAACATAGGGTCACCGAAGAATGGAAAGATTGCTGAGAAAGTGGAATTGCTTCAAGAGCTTGGAGAGCATTTGGCAAAAGTAAAGGTTTAACAATAGTGTGATTCTACTTTTATATGAAGGGAGAACAAATCCTAGCCGTTAGATTAAGGCCCAGTTAATCTGAGCAGTCAATCTCTCGCTACATCTGTGGCACAGAATTCAAAGGTTTTCCGTATCAACGCCTTAGATTTATGCGTGCTTCCCACGCACACGCACCATCTCTGGTGCGTCCCTTTCAAAATCCCCATCCATTACCATCATCGTGCATTTAATGCAACAGTCGTACGTGCATTGGAAGCTATAACGGTTCGACTATTCTTCCTTGATAACACGTAAAAATATCAAATCATTGGCACAATTATCAAAAACAATCATCAAACAAACGAGCATCAACAGTTCAGCATTTTCCTACCCCAGCTTCGAATAAAATTTAGCTACTACAAAAGACAATCAGCATCGACAGTTCAGCATTTTCTACCTCCGCTTACAAATAAACGAACTCCAAGTAATGCTATCCATGCTTGGACTTGGGGACTATTATTAGGGTAAAAAAAATTTAATTTTTGCCCAAAAGAAACTTTAAGAAAATTCGACTCAAACATTCAAGTCCACGCATGACATAAATGAATATACATGAATTTAGGGGACTATTGTTATGCTTCGTCACATGTAGTTCTATGTGGTTGATCCATTGTAGCTCTGGGCCCACTCAAGTTGAAGCTCACTGTGTAGTGGACGAAACCCTGAAGCCAAAGCAGAAAGCAACACGACCGAAGTTAACACCTCAACCGAGGCTCAGGATCATAAAGTCCAAAGCCCGGTGGGCCAAGGTGGTAGCCTCCAAAGCCCACAACTCTGAGGCCGAAGCCTCCAAAGCACCTCCCACTATCACTTTTTCTAAGAGATCTGTTTCTACACAGATATCTTATTCGAATGACTGATGGGATGTTTGTCATAACTGTAAGTGTCAAATCTTGTCAACAAAGTGGCGGCTCTGCATAGATAATAAATGTATAGCAAGCTAGCAAGTTAAAAATGATGCCTAGGATTAGATGTATGAACTATGGAGATGAGACCACGTGTATTCTCATCTAAGGGCTACCATTTCAATTGTACCACAATAAATATCCCCATGTAACTCTTTTGAATCTAATGCAACTTTGAATATAAAAGACTACTCCCCATTTCCTCTTGCATGATAATTGTATTTACTTCACATTAGTTTATTTCGATTGATAATTATTTTACAATCATTTCATAAATATATCGTCGAATTCTGAACATGTTTGTCTCGTGCGAAGGAGTTACTCCCACGTCCCATTTTCTGGAGAGTTCTTGACCGTTGATTCGTTTTAGCGTGTTGGAATCAGCTTACATGTACGCGAGTGGGTCCAACATCTTTGTTCGCGTGGCCCTAACCTAAAATAAAGTCAACAATGTTCTCAAAATGTTGGTGAAAGAAATTCAAAGAATCGTTGTCCGGAATCCAATAGAATCTTATAAGAATTACAAATATTAGTACCAAAGTCAGATAACTATATTGGCTCTAAAAAAAAAGAGTAAGATGGGGAGAGTAAACAAGTATATGACAACAGAAAAAATACACAAATAGACATTTAAATAGACCAATCAAATTCCATTGCTGTAAATGAAGATTAAAAAACAGATTAATCACTGAGAGATATTTTACACCATTGCGACAAAAGGACTCTATGTTAAACCAAACCATAAAAACTCTACCTTGTGAAACAGCTTCTAAATTTGAACATTCTAAAAAATTTTAGTGAAGTAAACAGATGATAAATATGATTCAACCATATTCTCTTTGATTAAAAGAATTGGGCAAATTGAATACTATAAAAATCATAATTTCATCAGCTAACCTTGATAATAGCAATATGATGTTTATTGGTCGTGTAAATCTGCTGAAGAATTATAAAATTCCTTAGAAAAGAAATATACTACAGAAAAGGCTAGAACAAAGAAATTTGTTGTGAGAAAATTTCTAGATTTTAAAATGGATGACATTAGAACTGTGGTCAGTCAAGTTGAAGAATTATAGATTATAATCCACCAAATTATACTTGAAGGATATAAAATCTGCTAGGGTTTTCAAGTATCTGCCATTTGAAAAGTTACCACTTTCTTGAAAAGAGTATAAAAATAGTTTGAAAAATAAGAGAAAAGAAATGTCATTAGAAAATCTGATTATCAAGATTAGAATTGAGAAAGACAATAGAATGGCAGAACGTAGCGAGAGTTTGGATACCAAGGCTAATCTTATTGAAGGATGTTCTGGTACTAAGAAACCTGTTGAAAATTTGACCAAGGGTCGAAACTTTATAGGCAGAAATAAGGGAAATTAGCTTGTAGGAAAGAACAATCAGGATGTAAATAGTAATTTTGGTGAAGGAAGAGGAAGTGATGACAATGGCAATGGCAGGTAGAAGAAGAGGTGGTGATGGCGATGGCAATGATTGTGGTGGTGGCGGCGGCGATAGGTCATTTTAGGAGGGCAATGACTGCGATTTTTGGTATTGATTTGAGGTGTTAATGAGGGGTGAGGGTGGAATGGGGTGTGGGAGAATTGATCGAAAAAGATAAAGATTGAAACAAGTGAAAGAGTTGGAAAAAGTCTACTAATACTTCAAAAGTTTAGAGCTTTTGTTACAGTTAGTTCTTCTTCTTTTCTTTTTACTTTATTTAAATAGGAGGGTATATTTACATTTTACGAATTTTTATTGTTAAACTGGATAAAAATGATGATTTTCGCAAAAAATATCAAAATAAGAGTAAAAAAAAAGGGGAAAAAAGAAGAAAGAAACGTTATGGACATTTTGTGCTAGTAATTCTCGTTGGCAAAAACTTTGACTCTAAATGTTTCCATGCTCAGGAGTGTAACCATGCTTTAGGGAGAAATACTTTGGATGCAGCCGTCACCTCATTGGATGGGTCAATCTCACCAAATGAGGTGAGGTCACCTGGAGACTTGAATAGAACATTTTGATGTAAGTGCTGTCAAAAATTTTCATTTCATACTATTTAGTCTATGTTTGGTATAAATTAAAATGTTACTTTAATTTTTTGTTAAAGTCAACACTTAATTATAATCATATATTTTATGGAATTCACAATTTTTTAAATCACACGCTTCATTAACTTTTATCGAAATCAACTAAAAACTAATATTAATCTACACCAAACATCGGTTTTATGCTATCAAGTTACATTATAAGTGCAAGCTAGAAACAACATTTAGTACTTGTTTGTGCCCCATTATTTGTAAGTAATGTATTATAGAATACTAATGATGTTGAAATATATAGTTAAAAAAGAAGGAAAAATATTTGATTTACAGGTAATATTATTTCAATAAAACTTCTTGTATACCAACCCTCTCAAAATGTGAGGGGGTCCACATGAATTTTATAGTTGTGGACCCCCCCTCATTGTATGAGGAGTGTAAGGGTACACTAAGCACTATTGATATTATTTTAATAAAAAATATGTGGTTGAAAATGAGTATTGTAAAAAAAAATGGGGTAGAATGTGAAAAAATGGGAGACAAACAATAGGTGGATTGTGTTGAGCTCAATTTTTTTGACCTATGGGTCGGTTTAAGCGGACTTCGAGGCCTGAGCCTCATCTTTTCATGTTATAATATACAAATTTGTCTCGAGTCCATAGGTTATCAGACTCAGTATATTTTAGCAGTAAGAATACAGATATTTTGAGCCCATAAATTATTCAATATGCTTTGCAGAGACGGATCTGGGGGGTCCCGGCCCAAGTCCAAGTTATTTGTGGGAATTTTTTATTTTTTCATTAAAGCAGCCCAATTAAACATTGACTCAACCCGGTTTGCTTCCAGTCCACTCCAGCCAAACTGCCAAAGTCCAAACTCCATTCTTTATATATTCTTTGCAGCCCACCAGCCCAATAAATGTCAAAGTCCAAACTCTACCAATTTTTTAAAACCCTCATATAATCATATTGGCTAAAAATTGAAATTGAAAATCTCTCTTCTTCGGTCTTCTCATTCTATGGGTCCCGCCGTGAAGCATCAGGTTTGTCTCTTTTCTCTTTCACTTTTTGTCTTTATATTATTATATATAATTTTCTTCTTTTCATTATTTTATTTTCAATTTTTGCACTATATCATAATATGCAAAGGTTTAAGTTGGCAGTGACTTTAGGGCTAAGAAATTGAAATTGGAGAGTGGAGGGTTTTTTTATTTGTGAATTAATTTTAAATTCTTTGAATGAAACATTTTCCTATATAGTATATATTAGTTTTATTGGTTGTATTTATAGAGAGTTAACTTTTTATGTTTTATGTATAATCTTTAGAAAAAATAATTTATTCTTTAATTTTTTTTTCTCAATTTACTCTGCCTATCTGCCAATGCCCAATGGGGAATTTTCAAATTTATAAGCATGTTGATTGATGGTTGTAAGTTGTAACAGGTTGTTTACTTGTTTATGTGTAGAATGAAAAATTGTGTTGTTTTTCCCCCTTATTTTGGTTATACAACTAACTTACTGTATTGGTTATACAACTAACTTAGTTAATTATAATTAATTATTCTATTAAGATCTCCAAGAAATTTAATTAACTAACTTAAAAAATAAATTATTCAGGTTGAACAATCTAAAATTTGATCAAGTAAAAGTGGACCCGTGTGAAGATTTTGCATTATATTATTGTTGCCTTGTCTCATTCTTTTTGTCTCATATTTTCAGCACTTACAAATGGAAGATCAACATTCATCGAAGAGAGTAAAGACACTATTTTCATTCTTTAAAAAGACTGATGATCAATCTAGTGAAAGTATATCTCCGAAAATTGAACACCCCTCAACCTCCACTCCCATGCAACATCCTCCAAATCCAACTCCAGAAATTCAACATTCGTCAGTCTCAACTCCGGAACTGCAATCATGTACTAGTATTGAATGGGATCCGGGAAAAAGAAAGCAAATGTTTGAACATCCTGCCAATCTACGAGATGAGATTAGAATTGCATATATAAAAGTTGGACCTTATCAATTGAAACTTGAGGAGTATCCAAGGGTAGAAGGAAAAAAACAAGCTCGTTGCTTTCAGAAAAAATGGTTCACAGAATTTCCATGGTTGGAGTATTCTTCTACAACTGAAAAGGCATATTGCTTTTACTGTTTTCTTTTTCAGAAAGAGGGTAATTCTTCTGCCTGTTCGGGATTGGTTACTGAAGGATATAATAAATGGAAGATGGTGAAAGATGGAAATAAATGTGCATTTCTTGTTCATGCTAATTCAGCATATCATAAACTGTGTGAGACTAGAGCTAAAGATTTAATCAAACCGTCTCAGCATATTGACAAGGTAATGAATACTGTATCGAAAGAGGAAATTTGAAGATGTCGTTTGCGTATAATGACTTCAATTAAAAGTGTTCGATGGCTAGCATTTCAAGGTTTAGGGTTCAGAGGTAATGATGAATCTCCATCTTCACGTAATCGTGGGAATTTTATACAACTAATAACGTACGCAGCAGATTTGAATCCAGATGTTAGTAAAGTTGTTTTGAAAAATGCACCACAAAATGCCCAATACATTGCTCCAACCTTTCAAAAAGCAAGTTTGCATATTATGGCCAATAGTGTATGACATATGATTCAACAGGAAGTTGGGGATGAATGCTTTTGCATTCTTGTTGATGAAGCACAAGATGCATCTAATCGAGAGCAGATGGCCATTATCTTGAGGTTTGTGAATAGTCACGGTAGTTTGATAGAACGTTTCTTTGCAATCCAAAGAGTCAGTGATACTACTTCATCGAATCTCAAAAATTAAATATGTGATGTTCTTGCTCAATATGAACTTCGGGTAAACAAAATGAGACGACAAGGGTATGATGGCGCTAATAACATGCGAGGTGCTTGGAATGGACTTCAAGCATTGTTTCTTAGAGATTGTCCATGTGCATACTATGTCCATTGTTTTGCTCATCGATTACAGCTAACATTGGTCGCGGCAGCTAAAGAAGTCCATGTCATTTGGAACTTTTTTTCTCATTTGGACAAGATTGTCAATGTTATTACTTCTTTTCCTAAATGAGTTACTGAATTGCAATTTTCTCATAGAGAGGAAATTCAACGTATGTTGGATACCGAGGATGTGAATCTGAAAGTGGGGTTATTCAAATGGTTAATCTGCAACGATCGAGAGTTACTCGTTGGAGCTCACATTACAACTCTATAAAGAGCTTGATAGATATATATGGTGCAACCCGCAAAGTGCTTCAATATATTTGTGGTCATTGTTCAAATGGTAGATCTCAAGCTGAAGCTCGTGGTGCTTGCAAAAAGTTGGTGAGTTTTAAGTTCATATTTATCTTGCATTTGATGCATAGAATAATGAGAATCAGTGATGTTCTTTGTCAAGCCTTTCAAAGAAGATCCCAAGACATCTTGACTGCTTTAAGGTTTGTGTCTACTACTAAACAATTGCTTCAAAAATTGAGAGATGAAGATTGGGAAGAATTTCTTCAAGAAGTAAAATCCTTTTGCTCAAAGAACAATATTACAATACCCGATCTAGAAGGTTTGTATAACACTGGCCGTTCTAGTGATGAAACTACAATTGAGCATTATTATCACTATGATGTTTTTAATGAAGCAATAGATTTTGTAATGATGGAGTTAAATACAAGATTTAACGACATATCAGTAGAACTCCTTTCTCTCAGTGCAGCTTTAGATCCTTAAGATTCATTTAGATCATTTGACAGTCGAAAAATTTGCACACTTGCAGAGAAATTTTACCCTCAAGATTTTTCGAAATAAGATATTATTACATTGGAATATGAGTTGCCACATTATGAGTTAGATATGAAGGGTGAGTCTCGATTTCAAGTATATACACTTTCTGAGTTATGCAAACAATTGACTGAGAGTAGAAGGTCAGAGATTTACATTATGATGATTAGATTGATTCGTCTTGTATTGACATTACCCGTTTCTACTGCAAGTACTGAGCGAGCATTTTCAGCGATGAAACATGTGAAGACGACACTTCACAACAAAATGGAGGATGATTTTCTTGCTGATTGTATGATACTTTTTATAGAAAGAGAACTTGCTAAGAAAATAGATTTAGATTCTATTATAGATGAGTATTATGTTTCAAATCCTCGTTGGGAACGACTTAAATAAATAATGTTATTCAACGAGTTTTTGTAGTACGTATAAATTTTATTACATTCACTTGAGCAGCCCCCCCATGAAAAATCCTGGATCCGTCCCTGATGCTTTGCATATCTAATCTAACTCATATTACAAATTGGTTGGTGAGAACATGTTTGGCTATTTAAATTGCCATTACATAAGTTTTAAAATAAATATTCTTTTATTATTCGAAGTTGAGAATAGGTCAGTTATATAGATAATAAATAAAAATTATTTGTAAAACGAGTAAATTCTTTTAGTTTAAAATAAAAAATAAATTGTGAAATATGTTTTGCGCATCATCGATGTTCCATCGTTCTCCCTGTGTGCCTTAGATAGCGTTATTGCAGTTCAAATCACTATATAGGGTCGATAATCATTTTCATGTATGATCGTTAATGTACACATTAATATTGAATTGTATTATCTAAAAATTTAAATTAAAAGCTAACAGCATAAAGTTAATAATTAAACCAGACATTTTTATATGATTCATAATTTTTCAATTATATATTTCATCGATTTTTATTAAAATCTACTAAAAATCTAATTTTAATCTATGTCAAATGGAGTTACATATAATTTTCATTACGAAAAGACAATTAGTTATGAAATTACGTACTTTACAAGCTCTAATTCCTTTGTTTACCAAATTTTAAAATCGAATAACGATGAGAACTGAACTACATATTATACCAAAAGTTCACGTAGTTAATAAAACGTGAATAATAAAAAAACGAGAAAAGAAAAATGCACAGTGGATGAAATATATAGGTAGCCCAAAAAAAAAAAAACCACCTTTGTGGGCCAAGAAAATAGCTGTTTAGGGGTAATTAACAATACTAAACCCCATGCTCTTCACGCATGAAAGCCGAAATTTACATCATATAATTACAAATTAATTACACTTAGACATCCCATTTTAAGACTGCTCATGTTCTTTAATCATGTTATTACAACAACTTTGGAGAGGTATAAAAATTAAATTAAAGAGTATTTGTTTATTCAATCATGCTACAAATCCATGCTCAAATTCAGACTCAAATTCAGACGGGACACGTGTCGACGCATTATTGGACATTTTGATAAATAAAAATACATAATCATTTTCTGACACATCAGTCTGTCTCTCCACTTCCTATTTTTAAACCTGGTTAAGTGACTTTATTGTTGTTTATTGTGGGTGGGAGTTTGATGGTTGGACCCACTTGCAGCTTAACTCATCGTGATGTGATTATGATGATATGATGATCACGTCCATTCATAATTTTTCTATGCTACATGCCGTTGAATGAAAAAATGAATATATGTTCTTTTAATTGGTCATTTTGAATTTGTTACTTCGGGATAATGTGACAATAATATATATTTTTATGAACTATTTAAGTTTTTAGACAAGATGATTCAACACGATATTAATATTAATTAATACATAATATTAATCATAACATCTTCCATTCATATGCAAAAATTATCATTTGTCAAGGATCTAAGAAATCAGTTTGAAAACATAGTGAAGGTAAGTTACATCTTAAAATTTTGCATGAGGTCATTAAATTTAAATTTATTAGAAATAAAACAGATTGAACTTGTTATTGTCGAGTTAATCGATAGCAGCAAATTAATACATATAGGATGATCTTGTATCGATATGTTTACCTTATTAGCAAATATATTTTAGTTAATAATTAAATATTTTATATTTTTTCATTCAAGGTCCGCAAGAAACTTGAGAGAGAGAGATTGATTTATCGATTTAGGGCATGTGTTCACACAAAATATAATATTTTCCAAGAAATAGATAAACAATAAAAATAACCTGATTTCGAAAATCAAATCTTTTCTGTGATGCGATTGACCTTGCTTAAATTTGTATATGGAGATTCTTTTTTATTACATGAGTATAAATTAACAGTTATCACATCAATTGGCTGATGAATGCACGTTTATTATATATTTCTTTCTTCCAACATCCTCACATACAGATAGGGGTAGAATGATAAATAGAATTCATGGTAAGCTAAAATTTAGATTTAGTCTTGAGTTACATCAAGTTATAATTCAGTTTATCCCGTTAAAGAATTCATCGGTGTACCAAATTTTAAAATTGAATAACGATGAGAACTAAACTACATATTATACCAAAAGTTCACATAGTTAATAAATCGTGAATAATAAAAAAAGGAGAAAAGAAAAATGCTTAGTGGATGAGATATATAGGTAGAAAAAAAAAAAAAAAAAAAAACTTTTTGGGCCAAAAAAAAAAATATATATATTTGTAGGCTGAAAAAATTATATAAAATCTAAAAATCCTAATTTTGGTAGTAATTAGTCTAAAACTTTAAACTCTAACCCTAAAAAATAAGATTGGCTTTTACCTTTTTACATCTGGCCTTACATCATATTTTTGCATTTTAGAAGTTATTATATGTAATATTTACAATTTGTGCTTTTTATAAATCAAAATTTTCAAACAAGTTGTGGTATAAGTTGATGAATCAAAGCGTTCATTCTTTATAATTCATGCTTTTACTTTCTAGTATTGTTAATAAACTTAAGTAATTTTTTTAATTTTTTTCATAATGTATGATAATTGAATTTCATATATTTATTGTTTGCGCTGCGTTGTACATTTTTGTTATCTTGAGTTCGTGGCTCCTTTTTTAAATATATATTTAAATTTTTTATTCAAACAAAACGAGTTCAATGTGTGGACCCTTTTTTAATATTATATTTTTTATATCAATTTGTTTCAAAAGTAGAAGAATTTAAACATTATTCATAATTAAACTATATGCCTTATATGCCTCTCTTATATATCGAATAAGATTTAATAAGAAAAATAATTTTTTTCTCAAATTCTAATTTCAATTTTGATTTTGATTTTTTTTATTTTCTTCTATTTTCGTGGCTTTTAGTATCCAATATTTTGTTTCTTGAAAATTTTTTAGCTGGATTTTCTCCATTGCAAAAATATTTTCGAGTAGCAACTTATTAGGTATATATACCAAAAGGATTTATGTGAAATATTTATTAATAAATGTATATAAAAATGTTATAGGTAAAATCGAAACTGAACCGCAACCAACAATTCGAGTTTCTGTTTGGTTCCAGTAGTTACAAAGATCCAAACGGTTCTATTTGCGAAATACTCGAAACATAATGGGTTGTTCTAGGTATTGAAATACTTGGATTGATCCACCCGATGTCCAAGTCTAATTATTTTCAATAATATCTTGTTTGTTTTTTTATAAATAGGGTTAAGGAGTTCTGTTTATTTAGCCCATCTCAATGGATAGATACACGTTTTTTTAGGAGTAAAGTACTATTATAGTCCATATGATAGGATTTGTAACTTCTATATGGTTAGGGCACAAATGCGTAATTTAAGAGTAATGCTATTTGACAATATTGGTGTTAATTATCAGTTTAGGTGTCATTAATATGATATTAAATGGGAAATACAATTAAATGATTCCATAATTCTATATTATATTGTGCCTATCATATGAATGTTATCGCACCATTGATGCTAGAAAGCATTGTTTGTAATTTAAATGTGAACAAACATCAGCTCTATGTTCTTCCAAACATCAGTACAAAAGATTATACATACGAATCAATAATTGTTTGTTTAGAAGTCAAAGTTTTAAGAAAACGTTTTCCAGAATCAAAGCAACTTCCCCATTAATTTTTATTCTTGTCTGCTTGCAGGTGTATCAAACACAACAACCTTTCTTAAACTATCAATCGAGATATATATGGTGAAAATTTCATAGGTAAATGAACGAATTTGCATCTTGATTATAAATTAGGAACTTTCGTAATTGATTGTTTAAGTTATTCTACCGTTTAAATCACGTCTCTGTCGTTAGCTGAAGAAAAATTAAGAATATCAATACGTCACGAATGAATATTATTTTATCTAACGCTGTATTTATATATTCATTCTAAAAATTTTTTTCGAAAACTCATATGGAATTGAGGTACAAGTTTCAGTTAATTTGAGACGTTCCTATAGTAAAAAATTAAAAATTAAATCTTGAATTAAGGCACATGATCCAACACTGCTGTGGATCTGTTAAAAGAAAGAACTAAAATCAGGCAGGCAGAGGGTTATCGGCAATACGTGAAAGAATAAAGTCAATTAGTCTGGGTTAAAAACAGGGAAGGATGAGACAGAATCGAGGTGGCGACAAATGGGTGGATTTTTTTGTTTTTGATTTTTCAAATTGTCAAATCGTGAAATGACATGTGTCACCCATATTCTTGACCCTGTGTTTTTACCTTGAATGTGTAGCACAATTGTACGTGAAAGGACTAGAAATATGGGGAGCCACCGTTTAGGAGAAAGAGTTACTTGAAGACAGCGTGTCATAAGTGAGCACTATCAATCATGGATGGGTCCAACGTCATATCATTGAAAAATATAACCAGTGTCACCTGTCAAAGGATAAATTTTGAATAAAAAAAAAATATAGATCAATATATAGAGAATTGAGTCACTCCTCTTAAAAAGATCATATTCAGATTTGATATTT